CTCCAGAGGCCCCGCCGGCTCTCCAGGTCCCCCCCGGAGCCCCCTGCAGCCCTCGGGCCGCCTTACCGAGGCTCTGCCCCACCGGGGTGCTGAACGGGTTCCCCAGCAGAAACTCCATCTTGGGATGACAACAAACAGCGGCCGGGCGACCCCCCTTCCCCCACCACGCCCTGACTGGCACCCGCCTACACCAACCACAGCTTCCTCTGCCAGGCTTGGCCCGCCTCCTTACATTCGACTGGGCGATGGCTGGAGGCCCTGTAGAGTCATAGGTTAAAGAGTATGTCCATCACTGTCAAGCGAAGGACCCGCCTCCGCCGTAGTCCCGGCTATTTCCACGCCCTCCGGTTGATGGACAGCAGGGACACCGCTACTGGCATTCTCCATTGGGCAACGGCCAAACCATTCTCTAATACTATTGGACAAGAGAAACATCACTCATGCAAGCCTCCTCCGACCCCGAGGGCACGGTGCCGGCGCTGATTGGTTGACACGGATTTCTCGCGCTCTGATTAGCAGCTAGCCTTCCCACCCACTCCCTGACCATTGGCGGCTGAGCCTATCACGTGTCCACCCTTAGTAACGCACTTGGGCTTCCTTGTCAACCGGGCCCGGTACCGGGGCTGAGGCGCAGGCGGAGGCCGACCCGGGTACCGGGGGCGCGGATCGGGCCTGGAGCCTTGGGGCCTTGTTGGGTGAGAGGCCTGAGGGGCCGGGATCTGGTCCTGGATGGATCTCGGGATGAAGGGGGCAGCCCACCTGGGTCAGAGCCACCCTGACAGGCAGAGTCGGGGTCCCCATCCCGGGCGTTGCGGGACTGGTGGTGTCGGGAACGTGGGCTGCTTTTCAGGCCTGGGCTCCGGCTGGCTTTGAGCAGCAGCATCTTGTCTGCTCGCACTGAGACCCACTGGGTGCAGGGAGGTGGGATTAGCTTTCTGGAATCAACATTGACTGGAGAGACAATAGACAAACACAAGGAAAGTGGAAAGTCTGGCAGGTCAAGGATGTGTAAACGCAAAACCTGCGACTCCTTGGTCTGTACTGAGCACAAATAGAGAGGTTTGGTTTGTAATTTAAAAGCCATGATGATGAGGGAACTCTCTAAACCCAGGCATTTATCCTTCCTGTCCTCCTATGGAAAATATCAGCAGAACGTCTTCCATAATTATAGACATCTTATGCCAGCAAAAGTTTGACCATTCAAGTCCTTTGTACTGAGTCATTAACCCCGCACAGTTCTAAAATGACACATAGGCAACATTAGGGGTGTTTAAATGACAAAGCCGGGACAGAAAGTTTTGACTGACAGAATTGTGTTTCCCAAAGCAAAGGTGTTTGTGTGCAGTACCATGTAGTGTCTGGACTAGACAGCCTTTGCTATGGATCTGCATTAAGCGCCTTCTTCCAAAAATCGGTTATTGTTTATTAATCTTCCTCCTTCCTCAAATCTGTTTTCACTTTTATTATGTTTGTGTTTAAAATGTAGTAAACTGCCACTGTTAATTTCCCTATGCTATAAATGCATGTCTCTTCCTCTCTCATTATAGGCAGGTTAGTATAAACTTACCTTTCAAAACTAGATTAAATGGCACACAGAGCTTCAAATATGCCCTCTTCATGAAGCTGCTGACTGCCATGTGATGGACCATTGCTGTTCACAGGTGCGGCACAAGGCCTCTTTCCCGCTCTGTTTATCTGGCCAAATTCTGGCATTTTTAATGGAAAACACCCAACATAGCGTGGAGTTTGTGTGTGATCATGCCTGGCTATTTTAGAGTGCTGGGGCTGTAAAGCTATGCTTAGAGTTGAATCCGTGACTTCAGGATAAAAGTAAAATCTGACTTTGATACCAGTTGTGAGGATTAGGTCTTCTTAATGCTCCACTGTGCTCTGATTTCCTCGGAATTCTCATGCCTATTCAATGAATGTTGGAAACAGTAGCCAGGCAGTGATTTTATTTATTTTCCTTTTCTGTCCTTTAAGGCTGATACCATCTGAAAATGAGTCAGTTGTACAATAGCACTGAGCCAAACATTATGGATGATGAAATGGTTCAAAAAGCCGTTGAAAAGCAGCATCCAGAGGTCATAGGAAAGCTTGCCAAAAGGGAAGGTATTAACTTTGAGGATGTGACGGAGCTACAGCTTAGTTGTAGAAGTGAGTACTGGAATATATGCTCTTTTTTCTTCTTCTTTTGTTAGAGGGTAATAGAATTAAGCACAAAGTGGCTAACAATCAGGATTAGCTTGGATCTGTTATGTGAACAGTAACAACTGGACTTACATTTTTAGTCGTACCTGCATGAAGTAGTTTCATTAGAGAGAGCTGGGTGCTTTTGCTGATGGGTAACTTTAAAGCTGCTGAACTTTATTGTCGCTGCTATTCCTATTTAACATTTATATTGTGGTGACACCTACAGGCCACAGGCCTGTTGGGGCCCTTCTGTACGTGGACAAATGAAACCCTGGGCTGTCTCCGCCGTCGCTGGTGATTATGTGAGAGCTGTTTGGTAGATAATGGTGATTACAGACCAATTCTGTGGCTTCCTCCGGTCATCCATAGCATTATCACAGCTTGCCTCTTGCTGTCAAACCGGTCATAAACTTGCAGTCACAAAATGAAAAGCAAGAACACTCGGCTCAATATTTGAGAATCGGGGGGGAGGGTGTATGTAATTTCACGGGCAAAAATCTGTTTTGGATTATTCATTGCGTGCTCCAACAAAGTATTGCCTGGGGGGGCTATGTAATTTCACGGGCAAGAATCTGTTTTGGATTATTCGTTGCGTGCTCCAACAAAGTATTGCATGTGTTAGTTGAGTTCCTTAGAACAGGTTCCCTGTTACCTGATCCTGCGGGTATCTCTGCAAACACAAAATACAGAATGGGGTGAGTATTGTGCGCCTGCAGTTCCTTGCTTTACTCTGCACTCACTAAACAACGATAGCAGGAGAGCAGTGAGCAAAATCCTCTGGGAAGCCATTATGAGGGGGGGCAAGAGAAATGGGAGTGAGAATGTTGTGTATTTTCTGTCACCTTGGTCCTAATGTGTTGCTGTAGTACCTAACGACCTGCCCTTGCAACACTGTTTCTGGAGAAAGCTAAATGCAGGGATATTGATTACTTCTAAACTGCAGCTTTCACAGAAAGAGCAGACCCCAGCTTGCTCTCCTGTGATGAGAATCCCAGGAGCAGGAGAGTGATTTACAAAAGCAGTAGCTGGCCACCCATAGCCTGCAAATGCGGACAAAAGCAGAGTCTCATCCCAAACCTCCCTTTTGGAGCTGGAAAGGAAAATGAAGGTCAAGGCCTCCTAGTAGTGGATTCATAAAGCCACTCTCGACTGCAGGGCTGTAGTCAGCATCCCCTCAGCGACTCGTTGGCATCGCTGACGAGCAGTGTGCGCTGGTGCAGGACACGGAGGTTAACTAGGCTGTTTCACTGAAATCTCACCCAGCCAGTGGACCTCTCAGCTCTCTAGGGCACTCATCACATGCTATCGTAACCTGCTGAAAATCATTTTGGAGGTAGGGCTGGACATCTTTTTCTTGTGCAAGATAGCGTGTCTGCTAAACTGAAAGCTGTCTCACATGAAAGCTGATTTTCTTTGATTTCTTTTTCCTGTGGCTGTAGATATCCTGCAGATTGATAACCTGTGGCAGTTTGAGAATCTGACTAAACTGCAGCTGGACAACAACATCATTGAGAAGATAGAAGCTCTGGAGAGTCTGGTTCACCTTGTGTGGCTGGGTAAGCTACAGGCGTGTGAGGTTGGGTTCCTTCACAAAGCAGAGCCATCTGCGATAAGGCCAGGATGTTGCATTCCTTCTCAAACACGACTGGTAGGGGCTTTCCCAGGAAAGGCTATCAGCTGTCTGTGCGTTTCCTCATTTCACTGTCTAGTGTCAAAATGCCTGAGTATCAGAGCTGCAAAACAATCCTTCAAATGTTTAAAAACTGGGTTTAATGTATTTGGTGTGGCAGGGACAGGAAGCAGAGATTTCAAGGTTGTTTCCAGGGTTTGTACTTCTATTTGGAGGTGACTTTCAGAGATATTTATGGAAACACCACTGTGATTTAGAATCATAGAATCACAGACCGGTTTGGGTGGGAAGGGACCTTAAAGCCCACCCAGTCCCACCCCCTGCCATGGGCAGGGACACCTTCCACTAGACCAGGTTGCTCCAAGCCTCATCCAGCCTGGCCTTGGACACTCCCAGGGATGGGGCATCTACAGCTTCTCTGGGCAACCTGTCCCAGTGCCTCCCCACCCTCTGCGGGAAGAATTCCTTCCTGATGTCCCCTCTCCATCTCCCTATTTCCATTTAAACCCATTCCCCCTGGTCTTGTCCCTCCCTGCCCTTGGGAAAAGTCCCCCCCAGCTTTCTTGTAGCCCCCCCAGGCACTGGAATGTGCTATAAGCTCTCCACAGAGCCTTCCCTTCTCCAGGATGGAAACCTCAACTCTCTCAGCCTGTCTCCATGGCAGATGGACTCCAACCCTTGGAGCATCTCCGTGGCCTCCTCTGGACTCACAGCAACAGGTCCGTGTCCTTCTGATGTTGGGGGCCCCAGACCTGGATGCAGAACTTCGGGTGGGGTCTCACCAGAGCTAAATAGGTGAGGAGAATCCCCTTCCTCAACCTGCTGGCCACGCTTCTCCAGATACAGCCTGTATTCTGTTTTCAAAGCTAATGCAGGCATCTCAGAGCACTGTCTTCACCCCAGTATGCTTAAGGGCTTGTCAGCATTGTTGTCCCAGGAAGTACCCAGCCTTTTAGTCTTACACAACTACTTTCAACTGAAGTACCAGGATGCTGATATCACGCAGTGGTGCAGGTTTTGATGCTGGGCAGATTGGTGAGCTTGCTGCTACAGATTCATAGCTTAGAGCATTCTCTGGGAACTGCAGCTACATCGCTGGCTGGCAGTGCAAATATATCCTCATGGAAAATAGCACCCAGGGCTTCGGTTCATAAGCACATCCTGAAAGGTCTGAGTTCTTCCGCCCAGTTGTCTGCACCGTTCTGCTGCAGAGATGACTGATGCCCTTGTGAATCAACAGCTGATCAGCCCGACGTAAGCAGAGTGTTTTGAAGCACGCTCAGGGGTTTCGTTTGCCCAAAGG